AAAAAAAAAAAAAAAAAAAAAAAAAAAAAAAAAAAAAAAAAAAAAAAAAAAAAAAAAAAAAAAGAGAGAAACTTCTCCTTCTAGGAAGAACACTGTTCTGCATCTGCGTATTTACACTTCTTCGGGACTGAAGAATGAATCTGAATTGGAAAAACTTCAACTCCTTTTTTTTGCCTTTTTTTTTTTTTTCCCCAGACATCCTGACATAATCACGGGGCTCCTTTGAAAACTGCATCGAGTAATTTAGCACTTGGGGAGGGAGGAATTATATGCGTTTGAAAAGAAACCTCACACACGCAGAACCTCCAAAATGATCGATAAATTTCCCTCGACCTTCTCTACCGCCGTGGAAATATCCTTTAGCCTAAAATCCCTCTCCGAAGAGGGGTGCCGTTGTTTTGGAGCAGAACGGAGGAGGCTACGCTTGCAGCGGGGAGCTCTCCACGGCCAAGTCCGATTTTTTTCGGGAAAAGCGAGTGATCTCGGCCGCAGCACGCTGGAGGTCCGAGCCCTGCTCGCTGTCTGTGCTCTGTACATACGTACACATATCTGTGTGCATGTCGCGTGTGTGCGCGGGGACACATCCAGGCAGAGGAACCGCAAGCAGAGCCTGGATAACACAAGCCTTCCCTGGGTTTTGTCAGAGATAAAACAGGCCGGGAGCAGTGAGAACAAAAACTAAAAGGACTCGGGATGGGATTTCCCGGAATTTTCCTCTTCTCCCTAAACTTCTGTATCATTCTCGCAACTCGTCGCCGTGGCCATTTCTCGTGGGCGCCTCCCGCGCAGCCCCGGCCCCTGGCTGGCCCGGCCACGGCCGGGCTCCAGCCTGGCCTGCCCCGGGAACACCTCCCGAAGTCCCTCTCTTGAACTTTTCCTGCCCAAGGTCTTGACAGGTTGCTCTCGCTGTCCTCTTGGCGTCTACATGGAGAAAATCTGGCAGGGGCTCCCTTCCCAGCAATCCCCGATCTGCTCGGAGCGGACGGCGAGGCAGCCTCTCTCGGAGGCAGGGAGCGCTACATTCGCAGTCAAATTACATGGCAGGCACTAGCTCCGGATTTCCAAACTAATACTCATCTTCTAAAAGACGAGCCAAGAAGAAATTGCGAGGAAGGTCTCGGATGCGGGGACCTCGGGGTAAGACGGTTGTTCATGGGCTAAACCAGGCTGAACTTTCGCGGATACTGGGGTGGCGATGAGGGAAGTTTCAGCTTCCCCTTAACTTTGTTTTCCAGGTGAGATCTCTCTCCCCTTTTTTCCCTCCTGTCCCAGAGATTCATGAGCACAGCAGGAAGGAGAGGTGACCTAGGCAGGTCGTGTCTGGCGTGGGGCTGAGTGAGTTAAAAGAGAGGGTGAAATGCCTAATTTAATTATTTTCTGGACGTCCTAAACCCTACTCAGCATGTCTGAGCCTCCTGCGAATCCTCAAAGCGCGGCGCTCGGCAGGAGTGACGGGCCGGGCCGGGCCGAGCCCAGCCGTGTTCCCAGGACCCGGCCCGGGTTCGGGGCTGTGGGAGAGCCCGGGCTGGGCACCACGGCCTCCGCCGAGCAGGTGGATTCCGTTCGCAGCCGGTCCCGAGCAGCCGGAGCCACGCGTGGACAGGGCCTTGCTCCCCGCTCATCCTGGAATCCCGGGTGGGACGGACACGCGGGATGCTTCCCGTGGACCTCCCCATCGAGGAGACCAGCCCTGAAAACCTCACCCCTCTATTTCGGTCCCGCAGAACCGGGCCAGCCCTGGAGCCGCTGGGATCCCGTCTCAGCGGCAGAGGACCGGGACCGAGACTTGGGACCAGGAGCAGGAAAAGGCCTCGCTGCCCGTATTCCTCACAGCGATCGGGCAGGGTTGCTTTAGTTTTTGTCTTTTCGACGCTGGTTCGGGGCCCCGTCCCCTGTCGCTCCCGAGCCAGCGCCACTTGCGCGCTGCACAGCCCGGTCCCGCCGCGGTTCCGCGCCGTTGTTTTCGTCCCGGGGGTGTCGGACTCGCGGTTCCAATACACCGTCATTAACACGGACCTTCCGTAACCCCCGGCTTTACAGGCGAAGCCCTAACCCACACCCATCCGTGCCAGACCTTTCAAACATCAACATGTGCGGGGGAAGCGGGAGGATATACCCGCAGCTGCGTGCGGGCGCGGTGAGCAGCGCGGTAGCGAGAGTGCGTGCGGACAGGCCGGGATGAGCCGGGCCGAGCCGAGCCGAGCCGAGCCGAGCCGGGCCGAGCCGCTTGGGCGCTGGGAGAATGCCCGCTCGCTGCTCCCGTCCCGCTCCCGTCCCGCTCCCGTCCCG